CGCTACTAGTCGGTGTGTATAGAGGGTAGAGTCTGGTAGATTTATAGGACATAAAACTAGTAGATCTATTGATAGTGCTGTGCACTGTTCTATCAGCTACCTATCTGTTATGTGACTCCTCAATGTTTAGAAGATCTGCATTCCTGAAGGGTTTTTGTATTTTGAAGCCAGTTAATTGGTCAATATTTAACTCATTACCTTGCTCCATACAAACTTCACAAAGCTAATGAATAGACTTACCAATAATTGTTTACCCAAAAATCCCTAAGTGGTAAACACCACCTTGGCCTGTTGGCCATTATTGAAGGCAACAAGTGCTTTTTTTAGCCATCCATTATGATCCATATACTGTTATTGTTAGTAGGCTAACAGCAACATAAAAAAATAACACTTCAAATAGACAAAAAAGTTGAAAAAATCAAAAAAATCAAATAAATCAAAAAAATCATGAAAAAATCAAATAAATCATTGATTTTTGATTTTTTTGATTTTTTTAAAAAAAATCAAAAAAATCGCCAACCCTGGTTTAGACCATTACAACTTGCAAGAGGGGCCCAAGGGCCCCACTGTGCAGAGAGTGAACGAAGATTTAAAGACCTACGGCGACGCATTATCGGCAAAATTTTTGCCTTCAGAAGATCTTGCCAACACATTTAAATTAAAATTCTTGCATTTAATATATTTCTCAGTCTTCAGCCAACTATTTAGAAAAAAAGTAGGTTTCTGCCACTTTCCGGTACGTTGGATGGATTACGATGCAGCGAAGCTTGTCCGGAAATCAGTTGCGATGAGTTCCCGCAAAAAATGTAAACAACATTTTTTGGATTGCGTAGTTTCAGTCGCATTAGAGCGGTCAGACGCCTTTATTACTTTTTCAGTTGACACTTGCTGTACAACCGGACTGTTTTTAGGGTAAAATTAGTTATTTGGGGTAACACGTGCATGCAACCTTGTTAAGTTCGTGGCTTGTAAATAGTTTGTCATTACTCAGCGTAAATGGCTTTTCATTAAAAATTACCCGGCGACGCATCTTTAAAATGGCCTGCGACGCTTTGGGCTTAAAAATCCATATATTGCCGACGCTGCATCCACCCTCTGCATAGTGGCAAGGGCCAAGGGCATGGGGCCTTGCAAAGGGTTAAGACCGACGCACGGTGGTGGACCAATAAGTACTCACAATAATTCCCTGCCACCATGCGTAACCCACAAGCTTAACCCCAAAATATTTCTATTCCATGCAGCCTAACCCCTTCCCCAATTTTGATAAAGAACGCCCTGCGCCATAGTGCTATCAGCACACTGCTACATCTCCAGCCTGACGCCTGTCCGTTCTTCTGGAGACTGGAGGCTAAACCTCCACTCTTACCCCCTGCTTCCTCTCCTTTCGGTACCAGCTTGCGGAAGAATTCTAACCTAAGCTAACCTAACCCTTTTGCAGAAAGGTGGAGAGAAGGGGGTAAGTGTGGAGGAAGAAGATGCTGGTGAGCGTCAGGGCTGGGCTTACGCCTGCGAAGTGGGTAAGGATGTAAGGTGATGCGACAGTCCGCCGTCCGGTGAGGAGCCGTTCCCATTTACGGCAGTCTGGTGCGGTCTGCGCCTCTGCGGACCCTGCGGCTTACGGCATTTGTAAGAAGTGATGGTATGGGCTTAAATCATTGGTGTAGGAGGCAGGAGCTATTGCCGTATTGGCTGTATTCAGCGTATTGGGCGTAATTCGTTGGAGTATCAGCTTGTGGGCTGAGGCATTGCTTGTTTCAAGCTGGTGTGGTGAGATGAAGCAAGTAAGAACAGCTGCATATGTGTTAGGCTGACTATTTCTATTGCATGTAGATTGTAGAGGGTTGCCATTGGCTCTTAGGCTGATACCGCTGATTTAAGAGTCTTTTTTTTTCTTTTCAAATTTGCGGGAGCCTCTGAAGACTAGTCCAATGTGGCCCCACGACCGAGTTTTGAGTTATAGTTGTTAATCAATTTAATTAATCACTTAATTTTCTTTAATTGATCACTTTAATCACTGAGACACTGATTTAAGAGTCAAATTTTTTTTTGGGGCTACGGCAGCGGGCAGCGCTCCCCATTAGACCCGCAGGGTCGGTGCGTGACCAATTGACCCGCTGTCCGCAGCTGCGGTTGAGCCTATAGAAGTGACCGGTCCAATTTGCGGTCACGCGTCGAGTGGTCGTGACCCAATCATTACAACGATTTATTATTGCAGCGCTCATGAACTTCAATGAAAGTTTTTTTTAATTTGAGAGACAAGGACAAGAAAAAAACAATATTATAATTCCTGAAAAAGCAGTTACTATTTATATATTTTTGCAACCACATCGAACTAAATACACTACAAAGGGAGTGCAAGAGAAAGGATCAGATTCAGGAAGTAGTGGAAAATTTGAAACAAACTTCAATAATCGTATTTCCTTCCTTAGTATCTAAACTTATCGAAATGAGTTAGGGGTAACACTAATAGTAATGACAATCTTCATAGCGCAGATTGTTATTTTCAAGATTCAAAATTCTATTAACAAGCAAATTAAACAATCATCTTCCATTATTATGCAGCTATCGTAAAATCTAACCATATCTTACTGAATGAAACAATTATATCTGGAAAATTAACTTCGCGCGATTTCTGGAAACAAAACTAAGAGAGGCCACATCATATTCAACAAACTTATGTCAAACCGAACTCACGATTCTCAATGAAGCGCAACAGTCAGAGCACGCGCTGCCAAGACTCTGAGCAACAGGTGCGAGCCTCGCAACGTGATCACATTTCCATGTCGACATGCATGTTGTACGATGTGAACTTACATCCCTTTCACTGTTGCCATGCCGTAAATTAAAACCATGCATAATGCATAGAATGAGAGCATCTCCGAACAGGTCAGGGGTTAGAGTGCGCGGCGCACGAAACAAATTACACTCTTAAACCTATCATGAGCTCGGAATAGTTTAGAGTTTAAGACTTTAAGTGGTTCTAGATTCTTTCGGGGTAATGGGTTAAAGTCAGAAACAGAATGAATCATGCTTGACAGTCGATTAGTTTCCGTTTTTTTCATGCTGAATAGAATAAAAATTGAGCAAAGCGAGGAACTGAAGTTATATCCCATGAACGGATCCTTGAAGCGAAATAAGAAGTTGATTACTATTAGTCTATTAGGTACCGTAAAAAGCAAATGCAAACAATGGTACTATTTCTCCAAAATGTAAGAACGAATCTTTTAAAAACGTATTAATGACAGTTGAATAATTCAAAAACTAGTACCTTGCTATATATTACTGCATGGATCGCTGCCTGATTTCTCTGTTCAGTAGCAAGTTAGAACAGCTCATGCCAGACACTAGACTTTTTCTGGCGAATCCTGCTCCCAACATATAGAAATAAGACTTAAGCACGCTGTTCTAAATCTAAAAGAATAATGCAAAAATCGCCATTCAAATAAGATACGTATTTTGTAAAGAACGTAAGCCCCGTAACTCTTCTAAGTCAGTCGCAATACCATGTGACCATTAACTTGTCAAGTCGTTGCACGGAGCCCAACTGCAAGCTATACAATCCCTTGCTTCAGTTCAGCTCCTCATTTCCATGACAACACGAATCTTTTACACATACCAGCGTGTCATGGAATAATTCATGGAGCTCTGTGTACAGTGGATCGAAAAAATTATGCAAGCTGGAACTTCCCTAAAAAAAATTGCACAAGTTTCTTCAAAAAAGTCAGGCTTTTAATCATCTTGAGTGGCAATAACGAAAATGAAAAATACATTCTAATGGTAAGGATGGTGTACGGCATAGTTTTTTTTTTGGGAGTTGTAAATCTAGGCAATCCGTAATAATACAACTGCAGGTGTTGGATTTACATGCTGCTAATAATGATCATAGTGACCAATCAATTGTGATAACTAAGAGCGTGA